ATCCTTCCAAGTTGGTCCTTGAAGAGGCCAAAGTTTGCTCTCCTCAAGTCCAGAGCTGTGATCCTAATTTTTGCCCTGCTTCCTCCTTACAGGATCCTGAACTCCACCATCATAATCTTGCTCTCAAAGTGAGAGTTCCAGGAACGTATTGTAAGAAGAAATTTAGGGGATGCTTTCAGAACTTGGACCAAGATCAAGGTGTCTTTCTTCATCTCTCGACCCAGTAGACCCTATCTGTAAACTCTGTTTTGATTCATGTTTTAGTAAAGTGGACTTCAGCAAACCTTGCTTGTTTCACTGGAGCATTTTGAGCTGATTCTACCTGAAATGAAAATTACTGTGAATGTTAGAACAATTTAGTGTTGGATAGCCCTTAGCAATGGCATAAGTGAAAGTTGTAAGATAAGAAATTCCCTGACAACAAAAGAAATTAAATCTTACTCTGTTTCATATCTTTTTAATTATAATTATTGAAACAAGATAGAGACTCTCTGATTGTTCAGAAAGGTTTTAAATTATAAAGGGAGAAATGAGGATTACTCAGCTTTGCTGTTTTATTCAGAGAATCAAAGTCTCTTCCCCTCTTCCAGGTACATTGCCACATGCCTGGGAAACCTGAGAAGAGTGAGAAGAGACTCCTTACTCCTCCCCTTTCCTCATTTTCAGTTCTATATTGGGCTGCATGTATATATCTCAGATGGTTATATTAAGTCTTCTTTGCTATATAAATTGATATGAACGATAAGGTTCAGTAGATCAAAACACTCCATTCTGCAAAATATATACTGGGCCACTAGAATATGGGAATTTTATTCCTCATTAAATCAAAAAGAATGTTAACTATGAAGGATAGGTGACAATATCTGGTAAACTCCTTGACTTTTCCATCATCAAAAAAGTGCAGCAATGCTGCACTGGACTGACAAGGGCCTCTCTTGACTAAAGTAGAAGTAAATAAGTTTTACGGAAAAGAAGTGAATAAGTGCTGAGTGAAAGACTAAGGGTGCAACTATATTATCATATTAGTTTGGATCCAGAGTGTGCTTTCGAAGCGATCCTGCTGATCATGCCCACTTCCCCTGCTCTGATCTGCATTGCATAACAGCCTCAGAGTTGCAGCCTCTTTCTGACTTCCTTTTGGGTGAAACTAAGTGAGGCGATGAGTTCCCAGGGCCCACTTAATGCACTGCACTGCCCCCAGTGGGCAGGTAATATGGTGGGGTAAGAGTGGAAAGGAGAGTTTTCCTGTAACTGGTCATACCTGGAAGAACTCTCTAGGAAAATGATACAGAATGCAGCTGAACCCTGAGGTGGCCATAACGTTTGTGCAGGCATCTGTAGTTTTAATCTTTTAAAATTTGGTATCATCATGCTGTTTAGCAGGAACAGGAAAACATGTACCCTACTTTTTACTGAAGGAAAATGAATGTCTTGCAGTGATATATTCAGCAGAATTTTAGCCTCTTCAAACCATTTGTATCATCCTTTCACGGTCACGTCAGAAATCATCACTACTTTTCAGTATATATTTAAACAATTAACAAGTGAGCCTGATTTTTCAGTAGGTCCTGCATATCCAGAAGACCCCATTGACTTGAAGTTCAAAGAAAAGTCAGACCCTTGAGCTGCCCGTTGTGTCAATAGATATTACTGGGCAAAATTGAAATAGGCTTCAATAACCTACTAGGCACCTTTGCAATCATTAAGACCTTAAGAGAGATATGCAAGCCAGAGCCAGAGATGCATTTAGATATCTAGCTCCCCCAAACTATTTCAGTGACAGTTAGGTATCTAAAAAACTTTGAGAATTTTGAGCTCAGGAACTTCAAATACTAAATTTGTACCTTTGTCACCAGGGCACCCGCCCCATTCAGCAGCGGGCCCACGTTTTCCCTAGTCTTCCTTTTGTTATTGATGTATTTGAAGAAGCCTTTCTTGTTGTCCTTGACATCCCTTGCCAGATTTAATTTCAAATGGGCCTTGGCCTTCCTTATTACATCCCTACATACTCTAACAACATTCCTACATTCCTTGCAACTGGCCTTTCCTTGCTTCCACCTCCTATACACTTCCTTCTTCTGTTGGAGTTTTGCCAGGAGCATCTTGTTCATCCATGCCCCCTCTTTGCTCGACTTCCTGCTCATAGGAATGCACAATTCTTGAGCTTGGAGGAGGCGACCCTTGAATCAGCTCTCTTGGATCCCTCTTCCTTGTAGGGCCCAATCCCATGGGATCCTTCCAAGTTGGTCCTTGAAGAGGCCAAAGTTTGCTCTCCTCAAGTCCAGAGCTGTGATCCTAATTTTTGCCCTGCTTCCTCCTTACAGGATCCTGAACTCCACCATCATAATCTTGCTCTCAAAGTGAGAGTTCCAGGAACGTATTGTAAGAAGAAATTTAGGGGATGCTTTCAGAACTTGGACCAAGATCAAGGTGTCTTTCTTCATCTCTCGACCCAGTAGACCCTATCTTTAAACTCTGTTTTGATTCATGTTTTAGTAAAGTGGACTTCAGCAAACCTTGCTTGTTTCACTGGAGCATTTTGAGCTGATTCTACCTGAAATGAAAATTACTGTGAATGTTAGAACAATTTAGTGTTGGATAGCCCTTAGCAATGGCATAAGTGAAAGTTGTAAGATAAGAAATTCCCTGACAACAAAAGAAATTAAATCTTACTCTGTTTCATATCTTTTTAATTATAATTATTGAAACAAGATAGAGACTCTCTGATTGTTCAGAAAGGTTTTAAATTATAAAGGGAGAAATGAGGATTACTCAGCTTTGCTGTTTTATTCAGAGAATCAAAGTCTCTTCCCCTCTTCCAGGTACATTGCCACATGCCTGGGAAACCTGAGAAGAGTGAGAAGAGACTCCTTACTCCTCCCCTTTCCTCATTTTCAGTTCTATATTGGGCTGCATGTATATATCTCAGATGGTTATATTAAGTCTTCTTTGCTATATAAATTGATATGAACGATAAGGTTCAGTAGATCAAAACACTCCATTCTGCAAAATATATACTGGGCCACTAGAATATGGGAATTTTATTCCTCATTAAATCAAAAAGAATGTTAACTATGAAGGATAGGTGACAATATCTGGTAAACTCCTTGACTTTTCCATCATCAAAAAAGTGCAGCAATGCTGCACTGGACTGACAAGGGCCTCTCTTGACTAAAGTAGAAGTAAATAAGTTTTACGGAAAAGAAGTGAATAAGTGCTGAGTGAAAGACTAAGGGTGCAACTATATTATCATATTAGTTTGGATCCAGAGTGTGCTTTCGAAGCGATCCTGCTGATCATGCCCACTTCCCCTGCTCTGATCTGCATTGCATAACAGCCTCAGAGTTGCAGCCTCTTTCTGACTTCCTTTTGGGTGAAACTAAGTGAGGCGATGAGTTCCCAGGGCCCACTTAATGCACTGCACTGCCCCCAGTGGGCAGGTAATATGGTGGGGTAAGAGTGGAAAGGAGAGTTTTCCTGTAACTGGTCATACCTGGAAGAACTCTCTAGGAAAATGATACAGAATGCAGCTGAACCCTGAGGTGGCCATAACGTTTGTGCAGGCATCTGTAGTTTTAATCTTTTAAAATTTGGTATCATCATGCTGTTTAGCAGGAACAGGAAAACATGTACCCTACTTTTTACTGAAGGAAAATGAATGTCTTGCAGTGATATATTCAGCAGAATTTTAGCCTCTTCAAACCATTTGTATCATCCTTTCACGGTCACGTCAGAAATCATCACTACTTTTCAGTATATATTTAAACAATTAACAAGTGAGCCTGATTTTTCAGTAGGTCCTGCATATCCAGAAGACCCCATTGACTTGAAGTTCAAAGAAAAGTCAGACCCTTGAGCTGCCCGTTGTGTCAATAGATATTACTGGGCAAAATTGAAATAGGCTTCAATAACCTACTAGGCACCTTTGCAATCATTAAGACCTTAAGAGAGATATGCAAGCCAGAGCCAGAGATGCATTTAGATATCTAGCTCCCCCAAACTATTTCAGTGACAGTTAGGTATCTAAAAAACTTTGAGAATTTTGAGCTCAGGAACTTCAAATACTAAATTTGTAGTTTTGTAAATCTTACTCGTATGTCCTGAAATTTTTGCCAGTGCCAGGGGCTCAAGTGTTTTTTAACATGTTAATGTAGGTGAGAAGAAACAAGTAGCAATACATGGGGGAAGAGCTGCTCTAGAAAATTGGAGGGTTAGTCCGACAGAACTATCAAAGAAAGGAATTACCACTGGGATGGCAGCTGCTCTTTGTTGTTACTGCCATCCACATAAACATCAAAGGATCTATAGTGGTAGTGACGGGTTTTCTACTTGTTCTCAGATTTACTCATGTTGTAAGTCTACAACTCTTTGTTTCAAAGACAAAAGACTGTCTGGCAGAGCTTCCTATATTTCACTAGTGCAGAGGTGATTTATACCAGCTGAGGAATCAGACACAAAGCTGTTCCATGAAAATTCGTTTCTCAGGTGCTCTGCAAAAATGGATTTGTGAAGTTTTTTATGCTGCTTTTGTTGGTCTGTGTATTTTGGACAAACTCACTTACCACTTTTTAAGTTAGTGTTATAACTTAAAAATCAACTGTACAATCCTATATTGGGTGGATGTAAAAAGTATAACTAAAGCATGACATTATATTGTATACTGGAGAGATGATTTTAGTGTTTAAGTGAAATACATTCATGTATTTCTTTCTGGGCATTGGCTAAACGCAATGAATTATAAATTTAGGCTTTAAACATGGATTCTGCTAATTGGTTAAATATAGTTATATCCTCTTTAGAGTATATTAATTATTCTAGTATTTTAAGAAACTAGGAAAAGAAAAAAAAAGAAAAATCCAATTTGGCTGTTGTGTGTGCAGTACAAATTCTATAATTATAGAGAAAAGAGTGTGACAACATTACTGTGATTGTTTAGTGTTAAGAAAAGATGATAAGATGTTTGATTACACGATTGGTAGAAAATAACAAGCATTTCAAAATTTATGCAGTTAGGATGAAGAATTTATTGTATATACAGTTAAGCAATTCTACTGTAGATGCACTTCCTGTTTAAAGAAAATGAATACAGTAATCAAAATAGTTTTAGCATGGAAATTGCAATACAGACTTGAACTTGACTAGAACAGAAAATAGTTATTTGACTTAAAAGAATACAGAACCTGAAACAACAGATTGCAGATTGCATCATTTACCAGGACAGTAAAAAACTGTACAGTACAAGCAACACATTACAATAAGTTATGACCAATAAGGCAGTCTCTCTCATTTAGGACAAAAAGGATAATGGGGGAAGGTATTAAAATCTCATAAATCCGCCATATCTCTTCTCTATCTCTGGGATCTCTTTGGAATAACTTTCCCCATCTTCTTCTGAAGGGAGAATAGAATCAGCAAAGCGCTTAAGAAACCCACCGTATCGTTTCTGGTAATCCAGCCACCATTCCGGCCTGCCCACTCTTCTCATGAAACCACCATATCTCTTTTGCAGCTCTTTGGCTTCATCTTCTAACTCTGGACTGCGCTTTACGCTTCTCATGAAGCCTCCATATCTTTTGCTGACATCTCCATCATTTTCATTTATCTCTCGGTAGTGTCCAGCTTCAGGGTTATCCCCTGTTCCTAGAAGCTCATTCAGGAGATCAGAGGAATTAGCCAGGGCATCATCGTCTGAGTCTTTCTTCATAAATCCTCCATACCTCTTAGCCAGGATCTCTCCTCCATTAGCTTCCTCCTCTGGTTCCACCCGATAGAGCTCATCCATTTTCTTCATGAACCCCCCATATCTTTTCATGAAGCCTCCATACTTCTTTGCAAGCAAATGGTTCTCATCCAGCTCTTTCTTGTCTCCTGGAGCAATGTTGCCATCCTCAGAAAGATCCAGTTTTGTCAGCTGCAGAAGCTCCTTGCAGGTCTCCCAGGCTTTAGCAGAAGGCAGCTTTCCTTCACATTCTAGTGTACATGCCTGAAAAATGGATGTGGTTTACTAAGAATGATTTAATAGTATGTACTTGTCTTAGCTTTTCTCGTTTTTAAAAGGCCATGAGTGAGCCTTTTTTACTGGTGGGTTAGAAGGACTGCTCATCATGAACAGCTTGTTTCATAACTGTCTATTATGAAGTTTTTTATATTCTTGTGTAAGTACATGGTAATATCCACCCTAAGAGACAGAGCAGTAGACAAGACAGATCGTGAGTCCTATCCCTATGGTATTTTAAAAATGCCACACATACAGCTCCTGTACCTCCCTTCTTGCTTGAGTGCATTCTTACGAAGCTTTTATATTTATTAATGGAAAGTTAAAAAGCAGTTGCTGTTGATGTCATAGTGAACGTGTAGAAGTGTATTGGATCTTCATAATTAAAAGTAACATTCATAAGTTTTAGGAAAAGGTTACTGAGAATATTAAAAGAGAGTATTGTTGCAAAGAAGCCAGCTGTACTGTACTGGTTAGTATCTTCAGTACACCACATGGATCTATTGGCTATACTTCTTTCTATTTGTGTTTCTTCATGGAAAAAAAATCTTTCAAATCTACACCAAGTCCAACATAGAAATGGACTTTCTTAGGCAGGATCAAACTTATGTTTTTTTCCTGGTTTGATATACAGAGCAGTGATCATCAGAAAGAGTCAAAAATCCTAACCTGTGTCGCTTCTGACTGATAAAGACAATTTTTCAGACTGAAACATGAAATAAGTTTTCAGTACCTGTATTCATATCTTATAACTTGTCACATGAAGATAATAGAACATATATTAACTACTATTATCACTGCTATGTCATGGACATTTATTTCCTGTGAAATCACACTCTTAAGTCACGAGAAGGTGAATCCCGTGTTTTCTCTTCTTGCCCATGATTTTCACACCACAATAATTAAAGAAGAACATATCAGTATTTTCAGTAAGATAATCCTTTATTTTGCCTGTGGATTATGTTTGCTAAGGATCTTAATGTGCTTTAAAAGCATGAAATTAAGTCACAGCACAGTTCTTTACAGTACGTAACTGACCAGCTCACTACCTCTGGCCTCACCTGTCTGTTGAGCCCTATTTCGGTTTGAGAAATTTACATATGACCTACGATACTGATTTCTGTATTTCTGATTACAAGAGAATGGAAGGTATTTTTGTATTTTGCAACACAATAATGATTTATCTATTTTAACTGACCCTACATATTTACTGCATATAGCACAGTTACACGATGAAGAGAATGGGATCTCAACTTCAGTTTGATTTGGAAATCACTCTAAACCCGAACAAGAGCAATTATTTGCTGTTCTCTTTCCACCTTGATCAGTTTAAGCAATCTCTTATGTTCAAATGAACATATGTGACCTCATACGTATGAATTATTTAATTACATCTTATAGATACAATGCAATAAGCTTTGCTAGATGCTAGTATCTAGAAAAATCTATTTTTCAAAATCATATATTATAAAAAAATAAGTGGTATAGCACTTTGCTTCTTTTCTTATTTCAACTAAGAAGTGTTGTTACTGAATGAGATTTAGTAATTCTTTCTTGAATAACTCCAAAAGGTGTACAAGAAATAATGTAGATACCCTACTCAACATCTACTCTTCTGAAAAAGCACATAGCCCTCCCACCAGAAAAAATCAAACCACCACTTTCTTCCTAGTTAACACTGAAGCTGAAGTTTGGTTGAAAGCTAATGTTAAGCAGAAGCACAATGAACTTTGAGTCTTTTTTGCCAGCTCTCCTAAGAATGCTGTCCTTATGAACCTGCTGTAGTTAGCAGTGAGTCCTAGTTGCTTTTGTAGTAAGTAGACGTATTCAGTGGTTTCTGATTCTGCATAGAACTGGGTCCAGTCCTTCATTTTGTGTGTTCCCAGATAGCCAATGACATCTTAGGAGCAAAACTTTTTGAAACATCTAGACATGCTGCTGGCGTGATGCCTGAATACACAAGTATTTGAGATCAGAAACTGCAAGGTACCACTGCGCTGTGGCCAAGGGCTCAGCAGCCTCAGTTCCCACCTTCTTTGGGGACAGCTCAGGGATCCCCGCATTTCACTGGTCCTGATGCTTAAGTTTCAAGCGAGTTGCATTGTGGGCATATTTTTAAACAATTTCAACGTCCTTAAAATTACAAATAAAAAAGCCACATTCTGGAGGTTTCTTAGCATGATCTATCTCAACGTTAAAGGAATACATTTTACCGTGAAAGCCAAAAGGGCAGAGGGCGGCACTGCTACTGAAGCAGCGCGCGAGCCAGACTTTTTGCGAGAGCCCGCCAAGTTTTCAGGCGGACGTTTCTTCACTTTTTCACCTCGAAAACCGCAACGGGTGATCAGCGTCAGCCCCCTGGGCTGCCCCCAGCCCGCAGCTTCCCGGAGGGAAGGAAAGCCGCTGCCGCCCCCGAGGGACACGCGAGGGCTGGGGCCGGCGGAGGGCCGCGGGGG